TCTAAGTGACCTCCAGTGAGATCCGTGTAAAGATTTCTATGTCCTAGGAAGCCAGAGTCCGTGGCTTTGTGGTTGAGAGCAGACAGGACTGTGAAGATTGCACTGGAAAGAGTTACGAAGAACCTCTGCTTCTTGGAACTTGATAACCACATTCCCCCGCCCATCCACCCTTACTGCTCAGAGATCTGCACAGAGCAAGCAGGCGCTCTGGTTTAAAAAAAATTAATCTGCCAAAGACTGCAGCCGCTCTTCTGAAGTCAGATTATATTTTAAAAGGTCTATAGACATTGAAACTTTGCTACAGGAAGTTAAACTCACGCTAAAAAAAAAAAAAATAAAAGTTAAGGAATGCATCTAGAATTCCAGTTTAATCCCCAAGTTAAAACTGTTCCCGCGCCCTCCCAAATAGCACACACAGATAGTACAAATAAGTGTCTGCATAGGCATCCTTCATATACGTATTCTTGTTTTTAAAAAATAGTGAATTTTCATTCGACGAAGTTAGGCTTTCTTGTGTGTTTTATCAGCAGAATAGGACTGGTTTTGTTGACAAAGTCTGTATTTACATTGTATTTACATTATCTTGAAATTTTTTTGGAGTGGGGGAGATACACGCAAGATAGATACAGAAGGTACTCTTCTTGAGAAATCGAAACTCGCTTCCTCAGTAAGGGCCTGCAATATACAAAGAACTACTTGCATTATTGAACTTGGACTGATTTTCTCCAAGGGAAGGGAAGTGGTGGGTTATTTAGAAAACTCCATTCCAAATACAATCTGGGAGAAATCTAACATTTATACAAACACATGCCAAAAAAAAAAAAAGCAAAAATGCTCAAAACTCCATTTTAAAATCTCTCTTACAAAATTATCAAAACTTGGAAAAAATTCTTCTCAAGGAATTAGATTATTTTAATGCTTTCTGGAACTGACCTACTTACTTGCCATTTCTTTAAAAGTAGAAAAAGTATTTACCCTTCTCATAAAATACTATTGCCTCTAGATAGCTCAAAAAATTTGGAGAGCTTTCCAATATCCTTCAACTAAAAAGCAAACCAAAACATGGACTTATACACCACCACCACCAACAAGAAAATAACAAGAACCTATTTAGTTCTACTGCCAAATAAGAAATATGTCTTTTTTTTTTTGTAAGATGCCATTGAATGGCATTTCTAGAAGAGCAGTAAAAAAATGGAACATCCAATGAAACAAATTTACCTGCAATGTTCTATAGTTTTGGCTAGCTGTGTTCATTGCGGGATTTTTTCTCTACTTCGATAGACAATTACTTCTGACTGTGGTGCTACATTTAGTTTAGAAGCCATGATAACTTATGACTCTTTTTTTGTGTGTGAGCGTGGTTACACAATTAAATGGTCATTTGAATTGTTGGAGGGTAATAACATAAGCAGTGGCACGTATAACGAAAATTATCTGTCTGCTTGTATTTCTACGTGTATTAATTAAGCAGTTTTTGCGTAGAGAAAAGTAACTTATGGGAACACATCATAGTTTTCAAAGAATAATCACATTTTAATTTGATAATGTATTGCAATGGTTAGCATGGGGCTTTTCTCCAAAAAAGATATAATGTTATGTATGTATCGCTTATGCCTCTAGGCAACATCTCCCCCTCATAGAATTTGCCATCATTTTACTATGATCTTTACGGGAGGAGGGGATTTGCATAAACGTGTACCGCGACAAAATCCTACCTATGGAGGCAGATACACTCGATTAAAATAACATCAAACACTTCCTTGGTTGCAGCGATATCTACTTTATCTGACAGTAATTAGCTAAACTGACTGGAACGAAAACCTATTATTAGTGGAGCACAACTCCAGGATTTCAAAGATCCTCTTTTCAGACAAGAGAATGCAAATGCCCCAGAACGCGATCGTAACTAGATACACGTTGAGACCAGATTCCACATTCTGATTAGCGGCTCCCGAGAACCCGGCTGCTGCAGTGTCACTAGCGCTGGACATTGTCCTCCGGGACACCGGAGCGCAGCTGGCCGGGCACACTCTCACGGCTGTCCAGGCTGCGCGCGGCAAAGGCAGGCTGCCTCGGTGCGATTGACCTGGTGGGCATCCTTGGTAAGAAACTTCGGGGCAGCCGAACCAAGACGGACCCTAGGGAACCTGAACAACCAGGAGGAGGGTGGCTGGAGGCGACTAAAGCCCCAGCTCGGGTCACAAGGCCAAGATCAGCTCTAGGTAGTAGGCAGAAGTCTCCTACCCACTAGATCGGCCCTGAGCAGGGTTAGGGGTGTGAAGAGAAAGGGGGGGGCCAGGGCACGCTAGGCCCTTGTGCTGCCCATGCTCTGGACCCTCACGGGCCTCCAGCCACTGGGGCCTGAGCTACCCCCCTGGACGGGGGCTGCCAAGGAGCAACCCGATCAGAAGCTGCAGAAGAGAACCTCTCAAGCCCAGCAGAGGGTACCCGGCAGGGTAGTGGTGGCAGTGGGTTTGGGGGAGAGCGGACAGTGAGGGCCTGGGACTAGGGAGCAGATAGCCTTCTTCGTACTCAGTCTGGAGGCAACCCCTGCGCTCCTGGCAGCAGCGGCGGCGGGTGCGTACTCCCAGCGCCCCTGGCCACGGGTCCTAAGATAAACCCCATTTTAGGGATGGACCTAGAGAAGGCCTAAGAACGAAGTGCTGCAGAGAACCAAGAGAATGTAGCAGAGAGAAACGCAACCTTCTGTTGGAAACTGGGGGAAGGGAGTTTCCGTAGCTTTTGTCCTTTACCATTTTTTTCTCTTAAAATCACTCAAAACAACGAACAAAAAGAACACCACCCAAAGAGGTGGAAGAAATTGAGAACCAGAAACATTCTCCAAGATGGTCTAGCTCAGGAGGGATGGGAATAGAGGAGTGGGGAAGGAGGGCAGCTTCCTTCTTTTAGGCTCGCCTGCCAAAGCGACGCACACCCACTAGGACCCTCACCCCACAGGACCGCGCACTCACCCCCACCTCACTCTGGATCTTTTGCGCCCGAGGGGTTGCGATCCGCAGCAAAACCAGGCGCCGCCTTCTCTCTGCAGCCCCTGGCCTGGTTTAGAGACGTCGGCCCCGCCTGGGACGTCAATAGTCTCAATGCCGAGAAGACAGGCACCCAGGCCCCTGCGGCTGAAGAATGGGTGTACCAGCGCAAGGCCCTGCCCACAGAGGGTCTCCCCCACCGCCCGCCGGTCGCCGCCGCCCTAAGTACTCCCGGGTGCACGTGGCCCGCGCCGCATCCCAGCTCCCCGGGCGGCCTCAGAGGCTGAGTCCCCGCACCATTTCCGCTCCCTCCTGAACAGCCCCGCCTCTCTCCCCTCCCGCCTTTTTCTCCTTGGTCTTGGGCACCCACAACTCCCAACGGCCGTGGGGCCCTCAGGGCAGTTCTCCACTTGCCCCCACTCCATCCCGTGGGTGCCATGCCCGGAGGCATTGTCCACCAGTCCCTGCACCTTCTACCCTCCCCTGCCGGCTGAGGCCGGTCTCCCCCAGCTCCACCATCCCGGCCGCCAAAAAATGCTTGGGGCGGCCAGGGGCGGATGTCGGGCGCCTGGATTAGGCTGGAACCGGTCTCTGTATTTTTCAAGGCCAATGTTGCGCCTCGGTCTTTCTGTGGGCCCCACAGTAGTGACCGCTGCTCCTCAGTAGGCAAAGCGTGGTGGTGGCGAACGCCTACTGTGGGGAAGATGAACCCCAGCAATGCCCAGTTCCCAGAACGTCAGGGGACCCCACAGCTTCGCCCAGAAAACACCTGGGGGCCGCATGAGGGCGCCACGTATGGGCTGGAGAAATTAGAAATACACCTCAGAGGGTAAAAGCCTAGATCCAGGACCCGGGTCTCAATATGCAGAGAAGGCCTCCCCTGTGGCAGATACCGCTCTCAAGGCCATACGAGGCCACCCGATGTGTGCAGCACTCCAGCCACTCCATCACCGATGCAGTCACCAAACACTGATGCAGAATGGTGGACTTGCGGTGTACTGAGCACCTAACAAGTGTGGGGCCCGGCGCTAAGCTCCCGGCATGTTTTGTCCTTTATCCCTGGCAACAACCCCTGAAGAAGTATTGGGCTCCTTTTTGTAGACAAAGAAACTGCGGCTTAGAAACACCCCAGGCAACACATCGACTAGGTCAGGATTGGAACCAAGACCTGTCTACCAACCAAGGTCAGTAACAACTCCGTCCTCCTGTCTCTCACATACCTGCTTAGTGGGCAGCTGCAAGAGCTACTAGGACAAAGACAACCGGGACCCTGCCCCTCCCCGGGGTGGGGGCATAGTTTACCCCGGGCGACTAGGCCAGCAATATCTAGTACTAGGTGGGAAGTGATAAGTGACACGAATGTCCTTTACTAACATGCGCTGCAAGGTCAGATGCGGGAGAGACGACTTCCGGCTAGACGATCAGGGAGCGCTTCCTTTTGGAGGTGGTACTTGAGCAGAGCCTTGGAGAACAGCTTTCCACTCATGGAGACAAGGGCAGGCAAGGCATTCCAAGTGGAGGGAAGAGCTTGAGCAAAGTGAACAAGTCGGGAACAGACACGTTGCCCATCCATTGGTATACAAAACATTCCGTCTTCTTGGGAATCCAGAGGCCGGTATTTACAGGCCAGGACGTTTTCTTGCCCTGCAGCAGCTGGAAAAACCACGCTCCTGGGCCATCCTTCCTGGCAGTTGGCTCGTGGACAAGAAGCCTCCCAGAACTGGCCCTGGCCAGGAAGATACGGCCAGGCAGGGAGGGAATCGGTAGTTCGGGGACCCGGGGCAGTGCAGCCTCGCCCACAACGACTTGGACTTCGCGACTCTATACTAGTCCTTTATTTCTGGTAGCGCCGCAGCACCCCACTCAGTGGATGTGGGGGGCGTGGTCCACATGAGCCGGAACCAATAGGGAGGGAGGCCGAGGCGAGAGGCCCGCCCCCGACGTGACGCACGACCCCCGGACACAGGCTTCGCAGCCCCGGCCCCAGTCCCTGCAGTGGCTGTAACAAAACCCAGACCCCCAGGTCCCGGCCAATGGAGGCGATTTAGACTGGAGCCGGACCGCGTCTGTCAAAAGCCCGACTCGGCAGCAGCGGCAGAGTCCAGAAGGAGAGCTGGAGCCGCAGCGCTGCTTCCCCGCCCCCGCCGGGATTTATTGAGTATTTGGACTGGACAATTAAGTGGCCCTGATGATGTTACCAAGCCCGGTCACCTCCACCCCTTTCTCAGTCAAAGACATTTTGAATCTGGAGCAGCAGCAGCAACAGCACTTCCACGGCGCGCACTTACAGGCGGACTTGGAGCACCACTTTCACTCGGCGCCGTGCATGCTGGCCGCCACCGAAGGGACGCAATTTTCTGACGGAGGAGAGGAAGACGAGGAAGAAGAGGGCGAGAAACTGTCCTATTTGAACTCACTAGCCACAGCCGACGGCCACGGGGGTTCGGGGCTCTGTCCGCAGAGCTATGTCCACACAGTCCTGCGAGACTCGTGTAGCGGGCCTAAGGAACATGAAGAGGAGCCCGAGGTCGTGAGGGACCGGAGCCAAAGTGAGTAGAGGGGGAAAGAGAACGCACCCGCACATCTGGAGCAATGGCGGAGCGCCCGCAAACAGCCCACAAACCTTGCCAGCACTGCTTCCCGCCCCCTTAACCTTTGGCTGGGGTCATGCCTCACCCTGGTCCACGACAGCTCCGCAAAGCACAGGTGCCTGCGAGGGAGCCGGGGCGGAGGGAGAAGGAAGAGGTGACCCCGACAACTACTCCTCCCGGAGTGGAGAGGCGATGCAAGCCCCCAAAAGAAGGGAAAGTAGTTCTTGCTGCCCTGACGCTGATAAGCAACACGGGCTCAGCTGCTGGATTCTGACAACTCACAGCATTTTTGTTCCTCCCAAGACTTAGACAAGAGCTCAAATCTCTTCCTCTTTGACCCTAGGTTGAGACGAGGTCTTTGAGGCCAGACAGCCGTCCCCTCTTCTTCAAAAAGATGATCTAGGCAGGTTGTGTTGGCAGGGCGCAGGAACCTTGCTAGAGACAAGCTGGGTGGTTTCCTCACTTCTCTGCTTGGAGTTCAGTGTCCCTGGCACCCACAGCACCGGCAGAAAGGGAGGGGATGGTCGGAGAGTGCGTGGGAACACAGTCCATTAGGCGCGTGCATAGCGTTCACACCCCCGAGGCACTGGCCTTTTTTGAAAATTCATAATGTTATGCTTTGTGTGAAAAACGCGCGGAACCTAGTCCTAGATCCCAGCCGCTCATGGGAGGTGAATTGGTAGGGAGATCGGACAGCTGAATAAAACCCCTAAGGAAGTGTTTGTTTCTGAGGGGAGAATCGAAGAATCTCTTCCCCAAGAGGAGGCTTGATGTGGCAGCAGCCAAGGCCTAGACTCCCGACACTTCGCCTGGGCCTAAAATCGACACGAAACGGTCTAAATCAGTCAATCAAATTTCTTTTTCTCTTTAAGATAATACAGACATCGTCACGCATTAAGCAGGAGGTCTGTTGTCTTTTAAAAGCCAAAAAAAAAAAAAAACGTTCCTAAGCAATGCAGGAGGGTCACACTCAAGCATTTCCAAAACATAAAGATTTATTCACGCAACTCACGCATACGGGCCCCCAACTACCAATATGCTTCACACCTTCCGCTATCCGTAACAGAGTGGAAAGCAGATGAGTTTGCAAACACTCTAGTTACTATGTAGTTACAAACTTTCATCCTGAGAATCGTCATTAGCACGCCGAGCCCAACATTTACTACTCTCTTTCTCACAGATGCTCAAATTCTAAGCAAACCCGCACTAACTATCCCTCCCCGTGGAACGTGCTTCTGCCCACTAAGGGCGTTTTGAGGGTACTGGGGCTGTCGCAAGGCCCCATGGCGCCAGAAACCGCAAACTTTCCAGAAAGCCCAGGCATTTACTACCGCATGCTCCGCGCTGCCACCAAAAGGGCCACAGCGGTCTGGGACAGGAGCCGCGGTAAGGCGGGGAACTGCTAAGGGACGCTGTTGTGCTTCTTCCGCAGAAAGCTGCCAGCTGAAGAAGCCTCTGGAGGCGGCCGGAGACTGTAAGGCGGCGGAGGAGAGCGACAGGCCCAAGCCGCGCAGCCGCCGGAAGCCCCGGGTCCTCTTCTCGCAAGCCCAGGTCTTCGAGCTGGAACGCAGGTTCAAGCAGCAGCGGTACCTGTCCGCGCCCGAGCGCGAGCACCTCGCCAGCAGCCTGAAGCTCACGTCCACGCAGGTGAAGATCTGGTTCCAGAATCGCAGGTACAAGTGCAAGAGGCAGCGGCAGGACAAGTCCCTGGAGCTGGGCGCGCACGCGCCCCCGCCGCCGCCGCGCCGCGTGGCCGTGCCGGTGCTGGTGCGGGACGGCAAGCCGTGCGTCACGCCGGGTGCGCAAGCCTACGGCGCGCCCTACAGCGTAGGTGCAGGCGCCTACTCCTACAACAGCTTCCCCGCCTACGGCTATGGGAACTCGGCCGCAGCCGCCGCCGCCGCTGCTGCCGCCGCCGCCGCCGCCGCGGCCTACAGCGGCAGCTACGGCTGTGCGTACCCGGCGGGCGGCGGCGGCGGCGGCAGCGGGGGCGGCGGGGCTACCGCGGCGGCCGCGGCCATGCAGCCCGCCTGCAGCGCGGCCGGAGGCGGCCCCTTTGTGAACGTGAGCAACCTGGGCGGCTTCGCCGGCGGTGGCGGCGCGCAGCCCTTGCACCAGGGTGCCGCGGCCGGGGCTGCGTGCGCGCAGGGCACCTTGCAGGGCATCCGGGCCTGGTAGGGACGCGGCGGCTCACGCGGCGGGCGCCCCACTGCAGCCTGGCACCGCGGGACTGAAGCGCGAGAAAGGCTGGAACCCAGGGCCAGGTCTTCTCGTTAAAAAAACAAAACAAAACAAAACAAAACAAAAACACAACCCCCTACCCCCCAATACACATGTTTCGCTCCCCAGGGCCCCGGAACCCAGCTCTGGCGAAGCCTGGGGAAGGGGGCTGCGGGACGACGAGGAGGACCGGGACCGGTCGCAGAGACTGTCTCAGAGGCAGAAACTCCGGCTGGGTGCCGGGGAAGGACAATGGCCCGGACTCGCCCCGAAGAGGGTGAGAGAGGCTGGGACTCTGGCTGCCTCTTGCTTCTTCCAGAGCAAGAAGGCCGTCTTTCCCCCTCGGCCTTCCCGCGGCCTCCTCGAAATGTCGACAGAAAGCCCAAGGACAAAAAGAAAAAAGAAAAGAAAAAAAGAAAAGCATGAAGGAGAGAAAAATGGGTGTCGGGGCTTGAGAATCCCCAAGCCCCACGGACCCCTCTGCCTCTTTTGCGGCCCGGAGCGCCACACCACAGCCGATTTCTCTTTTCCCTACCGCCTGCCCCCCGCAGCAGATACCTCGGCCTGGATCTCCGGATCGTCGGGGTGTAGAACTCTGCGAGAAAAACCGGCGAAGCAAGATCAAACAAACATGGGGGGGGGGAGCGTGCTGCGGGAGGGGGCTGAACAAATCTGGGAGCTGGTGGCCCCGCGGGAGGTGTTACCAGGTTTCCTTTCTGTTTCATATTCTGTATTCAGCACATATAATATACCTATAACTATCCACACGCCGTGTACACACCCGCTGCCATACACTACAGGAGTCAATAAACAAGGTGCAATATTTCCAAACCATTGGCTACAGACTTTGTTTCCCCCCCACACCCCCAGAAGTGGAGAGGGATCCTTTAGACAGGGCGAGTAGGGAAGGAGAAGGTGTGTAAGGGAAAGCAATCTTCCCCGGGCATTCGCAGGCCTGGCCTCTCCTGGGCCAGCCCCGGGGGCTGCAAGTCTTGCGTCCTCTTGGTTTTGTTCATTAAATTTCTCTTTACTCTTTTGGGAGAACAGACCGGAGACTCGGGGCCTTTTGAGGTCCCCGGCTTTGTAATCCCCCCAAGTTTTACCAGATGCTTTGGCTAGTGTCTTTGGGCCTGCGTTAGACCAAGACTGAGAGACTCTGCCCCACCTCGGAGGTCGCCAGGGAAAAGGAAACCTCGCCCCCTGGGCCAGCCGGAGGCGGCGCGAAGGCGGCTCCTTCGGCGGCCGCGGCCGGGGCCTCCAGCGCGCCCAGGGGCGCTGCGCCCCGCCGCGGCCGAATTCTCTCCCTCGGCCGCCCTCCCTTCTCCCCCGGCGGCCGCGGCTTTATGCGGCTCCTTGTCACTTGCGGAGAATGCCTGTGCGAGGCCTGTGCTGCCACACGGCCGATTGTGAGCGTGCCAAGGCGGGTGAATGGGGAGGCCTCAGAGCGCCGCGCCATTGTGGGGCCGGGCCTCGCTGAAAGGCGGCTCCGGGCCGGGAAGGTGCGGAAAGAATGGCTTTTTATTGGAGTCCCGAACAAAAGGTGTGGTAGGAAGGCGAAGTCCCCTGCGCGAACAAAAACCCCAGCGCGTCGGGATTGACGTCCCCCCCGAGCTCCCCATTGCTTCTCAGAGCGGGGGCTTTGTGTAGCAGTCTGCTCAACAGAGGGACGGAGAAATGCGCGGGGGTTTTGTTCCCCACTTTTTGTGCGCTGGGGGAGGGAGCGGCAAGGGGGGACGGGGGCTGGGCGGGCAGCCGGGACGGGCGCGCTGATTAGGCCGGCCAGCCGCGGCGCGGAGACGTTCAGCGGGAGTCGGCGGCCTGAATGCAGGGTCATTATTGCTACAAGTTTAGCAATTTCGCCCTTTCTAGGAGGGGGCGGGGGCTGCTAGGCTGCCGCGGGGCCGCCGGGCTGGGGATCTGCAGAGACCCGGAGGAGGAGGAGGGGAAAAGGAAGGGAGGAAAGGAGGGAGGCCGGCAAGGGAATCCTCCCAAACCCGCTGACCGCCCAGGATGAGGCTTGGATGGGACCAAAAGGGCCTAGCGGGAGGCTGGAGAGGCGGCGCCTACGGGGCGGAGACCCTCCCTCTCCTCGCCTCTTCCCAGGCAGAAAAACCCTGGAGTTGAGTGTGAGTTATCGTGCACCAGGTTGCCGGTCTCTCAGCTCCTTGCCGCCAGTTCCCTCCTCTCCTAAGCCTCCCAGGAGCTGGGACAACTCCTCCCACCACCCTTATCACCGCCCCGTCGACCCAAGTCCCCTTCCTAGCGAGCCCTCTTCTGAAGCTATTATATTCCCGGGAGTTGCTTAGGCTAAGGGCTGGGGAGGGAATTCTCGCTTCCTGACACGTTTCTCATGGCTTGCAGCCTCAGACCACTGATCCAGCCAGCCACCCAGCCAGCCAGCCGTAATTTCCAGAACACCTGCTAATACATGTTCACTTGTACTGTTCTGGATGCTGGGGATAGTGAAAAAAAAAAAAAAGGCACCAATGTCCACAGGCTTGTGGAGTTTATTTTAATGAGTGTGCCCGGGGACAGGGAGTTAGACAACAAAGAAGTAAATGTAAAAATAAGCAGATAAATTCTAAAAGGGAAATAGAACTAAGGGCTGAAGGGAGGGTTCTTTTGGAGTAGGTGATCAGAGAAAGCCACTTAAGTTGACACCTAAATGACGAAAGGGAAGCCAGTCCAAACAGGCCTTTGCTGTTGCAACCCCATTCCTCCACACTTGCCCTCCCCACGATACGGAATGCCCTTCCACCCCCATCTTTCTGGTGAACTCTTGCTCCCCCTTCAAGGCCAGGCTTCTTTCCTGAACCACCCAAGTGGAGGTAATCCCTCCCACATATATGCCACCAGAGTCTTAGGTACTTTCCAATACCACAACATCGTGTCATGCAAAGATTTATTTGTTTCTCTCCCTCCTCATGAGGTCCTAATGAGGTCATGGGCAACCAGGTTGACATCTTTTGTCCCCTGGGACAGATAACACAGTAAGTAGGAGATCATGGGACCAGAGTCCTTAAGGACCCTCCCCAGCTCATGCAGTGGCCCTGGTGATGTGAAGCTTTGGCACTGGGTGCTGGCTGCAAGGCATGTGCTGAGCTGGACTCTTAGCCCACCTGGGCGGGGCCAAGGTACCTGAAATCGCCTGCAGAAGACACACAGCCCATGCAGATTCCAGAGAAAAGTCCTGCCTTTGGTACCCTGCAATGCTGCTGGGGACACAGCTTTCTGCAAGAGATTGTTACCCCTCTCCCTATAGCTCAAAACATAGGAAAGGAGGCTGAGAACTTGGAGATGACCTGATACCCTGGGCACAAAGTTTAGGGGTTGGGAGGGACACAGAGATAGGGAAAAAAGTGAGAACTCAAGCGGGAGGGGAGAAGAGCTATGATGTGTATGATAAATCTGGGACCTGTAACGGGGGCCCAGTTCCACTTCTCCAACTTTCCCTAGCTGAGGGGTATGGTAGGTGACCAAGAGCCTGCCCTGGCACTCCAGGACTGCTCACTTCCAACACTGAATTCCATCACCTGCGCTCTAGGAGCCCAAGACTCTGGGAGCAGATGTCCTTGCTCTGCTGGGAGTTTCCTAAGTAAGCAACTCTTCCCCCCCAGCCTAGTCTGTTTCCCGCGGGACTTGGCCTCTGGATGCTCCCAGCACCAGATCCCCACCTTCCTTGCCCGGCTTCATCCCGGCCGGCATTAATCTTCCTCCATTCTGCATCCTCTCCTCTTTCGAAAAGAGGTGTGCGACCGTGGTAGAGGAAGCAGACTAGTTCTAGGGATTGGCTTCCACACAGTTTGCGTGTCTTGAGATACTTAAAGCCAGACTGAACCAACTCCCTCCCGGCTCACTACACTTCCCCAGAGCCAGCGGTCTCCGGGTATAAATAGCTCCCATCTCTCGGGCTAAGTTGTCGGCCATTGAAGGGTGCAAACTCTTGACCAACACAGCTACCTCTCTTTGAGCTCCCTCTGCAGGGGAAAAAACACACCCCACCCGCAAGCCCAAATTGCTGGTTTACTGAATAGTTTTGTGAGCCGGGAGGAAGAGTAAAATGCCTTCTAATGATCCGTGAGACTTTGAGCAGGTGAAGTAAGTCACCCCTTTAGCTTCTAGCTTCTGAGCTCTAAGGCAGAGAAGGATAAACCGTATGATTTCAGAAGTCACTTCTGGCTCAAACTTCCCTTACTTCTCTGAATGCATGGATAATCCCTCCCTACCCAGGGACTCTTGCTGGGCTCATGGGGGGGGTACGAGATGGGGGGGGTCAGTGTTACTGGTGAGAGAGGTTAAGGCCAGCAATTTTTTCCTGCATTAGCCTAAGCTTGAGAGGAGTTAAGAGGTTGGCTCTGGAGCCAGCCTTCCTCCATTCTAACCTTAATGCCACCACAACCAGTAGTAGAGACTTTGAGTAAGTTGGGAGCACTCTGAACCTCAGTTTCCTCCTCTGTAAAATGGGTATAAAACTTCTCTCATAGTTTTTTTCTTTTACCTAAGCAAAGCGCACAAATAGTAAGTGTGCAATTAAGTGAGTGTTTATATATGTAAACACTTACAGGACTCAAATTAAATGAGGTGATCCTTGTAAAAGCAATTTAGCACAGTGTCTGCTATGTCTCCGGCCTTGCACCCCTGGCGTTGGCCAGGCCGGCGTTAGCTGCATTGTATGCAGAGAAGCCCGGGACTCAGATCTGTCTTTGCAGCGCTCCCAGGTCCGCAGGGGGAGCGCGGCGGGCCCGGGGGATTCGCCACCCCAACACGGCGGGCACGCGTCACCACAGGCAGGCGGAGCCCGCCGGGGCCTGCAGAGCTCGGAGAGCTTCGCGGAGGCTTGGACCTTGGAGGCTTCAGGGGAATTCGACTGAAGGAGAAGGTGCAAGGAGGTTCCGGGCGGAGCGGCGACCCTCGTCGGGCTCATCAGTGCAGGAAGAAAGGGTTGGGAGGGGAAACCTAGCCCCTCTCGGGAGAGCTTGCCCGGGGTCCGGCGCCCCGCTGTTCCGGGGCCCAGCCGGCGGGACCCTGGGCCGCGCGCCCCCGTGAGGGTGCCGCGGAAAGG